AAACTTAAATTATGGAGCTGTAAAACTATGTAGTAGCCAATTTAATTCCAGTTGTTGCAATAATTAAACATTATCATTTATCCCTTACCTCAGCTGCTAAATCCTTAGTAACAGGATGCTTCCCAGCAAAGTTCTCTTCCAAAGCCATAACAGTCTTAAAATAACCCTCAACTTCCGTCTGAATCTCCTCCGGTGGAAACACACACCAATCTAAAAACCCCACACAATTATTTATTAAAACTTCGACAAAACCTGAGTTTTATCACCAAACCTACCTTGGCCTTCATCCATGATCGTATTTATCCAAAAAATCTCCACAGATTCATAAAGATTCTTAAACGGCCCCTCAACCTTTCGTGAATCTCTTGCTGAAGTGGATAACTGGACAACTCGTACCCGAAGGATGTCTCTTCGGTGTGAACTGCTTTATGGTCTCCATTGCTAAAATCAACCTAGGAAATAAGACTTATTAATTCTAGATTTAAGATGGAGGTAAGAGTGATTTAGACCTTGGTCCCATGTGTTGTGGCACGTTTTCTGTATTTTTTCAATTGCGAGACGTCGCCCCAGTTTCTGCAAGCGTTTACCAGGCCATCCAGACGTTGAAGTTCTTCTCCAAATTGTACTATCTTGACTAATTATAAAAACAGAAGGTTCAGTACTTATTTTTATATGGAATGTGATCAGTTGTACCTTCAATCCTCTTTGGAATTCAGCAGTTTTGATGTCAGCCATTTGACGATGCTCCTCAAACACTGAAGGCATACGTAGATACCTAGATAGAAATAAATTCAACACAAGCAGTTCAGAATGAAAACTGTGGGATGTGTAGGCAAATTTTGCTGTGGAGCTCATGAAACACTATAGATCTCAATTTTAACACAATTTTATACATTTTAAAACCGTTTTGGTGACAATCAAGTAATTCTCCAAGTGCATGCCTAAAAATTGCTCATAAGTCTTTCCCCTACCATTGAAATGCCTCAGTGTTCTGCTTAATTTCCTGCTGTGTCAAAGCATGATGATCCGATAGAAAGAGCAGTCTCCGAACAACCTGACGCAACCTGTCCTGCATAATTGCCAATGTGCTGCCTTCAGCCTGACGTACAAATTCAGTTGCTGCCATCAATTGGGCAGTATCTTCTGGTATTGCCAAAGCACTGGAGGACATTGATTGGTACTCTTCCGATAAACTGGAAGATAAAAACAATTAGTAAATAATAAGATTTCAGTTCCAAAGATGATAAAAATAAAACAAGGCAATAAATGAAGAAATGGGAGATAATAATTAATTAACTGAGCTTATTAGATAGCAGAATGATGAGGCAAAGAATTTAAAAAATGATGATGGTATAAATACTAAAAATTGTAAAGTCGACAAAGCAGAAAGTTTTAAAGTGAAGACCAAAGAAAACAGTTCCATGATTCTGCTTTCCAGCAGTCCATCTATTAAAATAATTATTATTTATATAGTGCAACTTCTTACGCTTTCATCATATTTGATAATCCGTAATAATCCAATTGATCAAATCATCCTTATTTTTAACAGCAGCATTTGTTAAAGATTGCACCAAATCTTCTCTGTGCATTTCGTACAAACCAATGGTGACCACATGCTCCACCTTGAGCAAAAATCACATTGATTATATAATATATATTATTAGGGTGGTCCTTAATATGGACATTTTCGAATTTCCTTGCTCCCAAGGGTTCAAATGATTCCACATTGATAAAAAACAATTCTCTGAAAGTTTTAGCTCTTAATATTGTCTTTTAGATAGAGCACAATTCAATCAAAGTTTTGTATGAAAATAACATGGAAAAATTTGAAAATAAAAAAAAAATAATTTAGGCATAACTTAATGACAAATTTGAATAAAATTCAATCATTTGTTTCCTAAATTATATCTAAAAACATTTTGAAAATTTTTGAAAATTTTGTCATGCTATTTCCATATGAAGTTTGATTGAATTGCGCACTATCTAAAATTAACATCAAGAGCTGAAACTTTCAGAGAATTGCTTTTCATCAATTTGGAACCATTTGA